CAATTTGAACAGCATTTTCGAAGTTCGAGGGCTCCTTCTGCCATCAGTGACAAGAATTAACAAGCAAGCAACTGCGAATGATATTATAAACTGTGATATCGTAGCTACGAATATCAAGTTAACAAAACTCACCAGCTACAAATCTAACCAATCTGTGATGAGTTTGAGTTTCATGATTTTTTGTTTTACATCCGAACGCGAACCGAAACTACCGTAATTACTCACTACTGGCAGCAGTTTTTGTTTTGATTTGTGGCCATACAAATTACATGAGATTTTCGACATGATTGAAGTGAATCCTCTTGGATGTAATATTAAATTTTATTTTTTGCTGTGTAGATCGATAAAAGAAGCATTTATCTAGCATCTAATACGACAAACACAACAAGAAACGGTTATGTGCTCGAGTTATTAACGAAAGAGAAAGTCGACGAAGAGAATCGATCATTGTTACTTATTGTTTTTATGAATTCATTTATTTATCAAGGCTCAATTGTGTTAGCTTTGTGGAGCCGTAATTCAATATATATTAACAATATTTCTTATGACTAAAGTTAGTAGAACGGGGGCCGATTACTCGCGGCTTATTCGAGGGTAAGGACAACATCCAAGGTATCTTGCAATGGTCCTTGCAGGTCCGGGGCTTTTGGTCGTATAACGGAAATCACGCCGTCATCTGCAAGCTGCCTTAGAAAAAAAAAATTATAAAGAAGGGGGCGTGGGGGAGGCCCATGTAACTAATTCGTGAAGTTGTCGAGTTTCTATGAGAAAGGCTCATATATTTCTCTGACAACAAATTGCTCAAACATTTGTTCAGAATTTGGTGAAAGTCCCCTTCAGTGGAGTTTATCCGAAAGGACATCGATACACAGACTTAATACGTTCAGCTTGATTTTTGTGTCGAGTCAAATCTCAGCTTCAGCTTTACATGTCAAAGGAGCTTGTAAAATAAATATCAAGCATGATATTTTGATCCGAAATCACACGCGATATTGGGCCTTATTACGGGTGTCACTACACGGTGATAAGGAAGTGATACTCATAATAATTGATTGCCGTACAAATCAAATCGGAATCACTTCAGCGTGACGACAAGTGACAAGTTTTCACCGTGAAGTGACATCCGTAATAAGCTCCATTGAGAGCGTATTAGAGCGGAAACATATCATTTGATTGATGATTTTGCCAACACTGCATGGGACATATGTCACCAAACAGCAAACATCCGTCTCGTGTCTCGCCGTTAGTCTTAGAGAGTCAGATTCGCATTGTTTGATTTTAGCACACTCCTCCATCAGCGAACCAACCTGCCTCAATCGATCGATGGGCATCACGACGACACAATGGCGATCGCAACAAACAAACCCCCTCCGGGCCCGGCCAAATGGAGTTGCTCCCTCTGTGTGAGCAGAAGCGTTCAACTTGCTCCTCCTGCTGCTCCTCTTCCATTTCTATACACGTTGGATAAATGACCACCCACTGCTACCGCCTCCTCCTCCTCCTCCTTATCCTTATGTTGCTTTTGCTTGTTATGTAAACAGCCTAAAGTGTTGAACTGCTGGCTGCTGCTAGGTCTCTCCATCTTGTTGTTATTGTTGGTCAGATAAGCAGATTTTGGGGGAGCGCAAAAAAAGATCGTAATGTTGTGGTTTGACGGTGTTTTGTGGCACACAACAAAGACAAACAGACAGACAGACAGACAGACAGACAGACAGACAGACAGACAGACAGACAGACAGACAGACAGACAGACAGACAGACAGACAGACAGACAGACAGACAGACAGACAGACAGACAGACAGACAGACAGACAGACAGACAGACAGACAGACAGACAGACAGACAGACAGACAGACAGACAGACAGACAGACAGACAGACAGACAGACAGACAGACAGACAGACAGACAGACAGACAGACAGACAGACAGACAGACAGACAGACAGACAGACAGACAGACAGACAGACAGACAGACAGACAGACAGACAGACAGACAGACAGACAGACAGACAGACAGACAGACAGACAGACAGACAGACAGACAGACAGACAGACAGACAGACAGACAGACAGACAGACAGACAGACAGACAGACAGACAGACAGACAGACAGACAGACAGACAGACAGACAGACAGACAGACAGACAGACAGACAGACAGACAGACAGACAGACAGACAGACAGACAGACAGACAGACAGACAGACAGACAGACAGACAGACAGACAGACAGACAGACAGACAGACAGACAGACAGACAGACAGACAGACAGACAGACAGACAGACAGACAGACAGACAGACAGACAGACAGACAGACAGACAGACAGACAGACAGACAGACAGACAGACAGACAGACAGACAGACAGACAGACAGACAGACAGACAGACAGACAGACAGACAGACAGACAGACAGACAGACAGACAGACAGACAGACAGACAGACAGACAGACAGACAGACAGACAGACAGACAGACAGACAGACAGACAGACAGACAGACAGACAGACAGACAGACAGACAGACAGACAGACAGACAGACAGACAGACAGACAGACAGACAGACAGACAGACAGACAGACAGACAGACAGACAGACAGACAGACAGACAGACAGACAGACAGACAGACAGACAGACAGACAGACAGACAGACAGACAGACAGACAGACAGACAGACAGACAGACAGACAGACAGACAGACAGACAGACAGACAGACAGACAGACAGACAGACAGACAGACAGACAGACAGACAGACAGACAGACAGACAGACAGACAGACAGACAGACAGACAGACAGACAGACAGACAGACAGACAGACAGACAGACAGACAGACAGACAGACAGACAGACAGACAGACAGACAGACAGACAGACAGACAGACAGACAGACAGACAGACAGACAGACAGACAGACAGACAGACAGACAGACAGACAGACAGACAGACAGACAGACAGACAGACAGACAGACAGACAGACAGACAGACAGACAGACAGACAGACAGACAGACAGACAGACAGACAGACAGACAGACAGACAGACAGACAGACAGACAGACAGACAGACAGACAGACAGACAGACAGACAGACAGACAGACAGACAGACAGACAGACAGACAGACAGACAGACAGACAGACAGACAGACAGACAGACAGACAGACAGACAGACAGACAGACAGACAGACAGACAGACAGACAGACAGACAGACAGACAGACAGACAGACAGACAGACAGACAGACAGACAGACAGACAGACAGACAGACAGACAGACAGACAGACAGACAGACAGACAGACAGACAGACAGACAGACAGACAGACAGACAGACAGACAGACAGACAGACAGACAGACAGACAGACAGACAGACAGACAGACAGACAGACAGACAGACAGACAGACAGACAGACAGACAGACAGACAGACAGACAGACAGACAGACAGACAGACAGACAGACAGACAGACAGACAGACAGACAGACAGACAGACAGACAGACAGACAGACAGACAGACAGACAGACAGACAGACAGACAGACAGACAGACAGACAGACAGACAGACAGACAGACAGACAGACAGACAGACAGACAGACAGACAGACAGACAGACAGACAGACAGACAGACAGACAGACAGACAGACAGACAGACAGACAGACAGACAGACAGACAGACAGACAGACAGACAGACAGACAGACAGACAGACAGACAGACAGACAGACAGACAGACAGACAGACAGACAGACAGACAGACAGACAGACAGACAGACAGACAGACAGACAGACAGACAGACAGACAGACAGACAGACAGACAGACAGACAGACAGACAGACAGACAGACAGACAGACAGACAGACAGACAGACAGACAGACAGACAGACAGACAGACAGACAGACAGACAGACAGACAGACAGACAGACAGACAGACAGACAGACAGACAGACAGACAGACAGACAGACAGACAGACAGACAGACAGACAGACAGACAGACAGACAGACAGACAGACAGACAGACAGACAGACAGACAGACAGACAGACAGACAGACAGACAGACAGACAGACAGACAGACAGACAGACAGACAGACAGACAGACAGACAGACAGACAGACAGACAGACAGACAGACAGACAGACAGACAGACAGACAGACAGACAGACAGACAGACAGACAGACAGACAGACAGACAGACAGACAGACAGACAGACAGACAGACAGACAGACAGACAGACAGACAGACAGACAGACAGACAGACAGACAGACAGACAGACAGACAGACAGACAGACAGACAGACAGACAGACAGACAGACAGACAGACAGACAGACAGACAGACAGACAGACAGACAGACAGACAGACAGACAGACAGACAGACAGACAGACAGACAGACAGACAGACAGACAGACAGACAGACAGACAGACAGACAGACAGACAGACAGACAGACAGACAGACAGACAGACAGACAGACAGACAGACAGACAGACAGACAGACAGACAGACAGACAGACAGACAGACAGACAGACAGACAGACAGACAGACAGACAGACAGACAGACAGACAGACAGACAGACAGACAGACAGACAGACAGACAGACAGACAGACAGACAGACAGACGCGCTAATATGAAAAAAGTCGATTTGATTTGGTTGCATCGAGGGTTTTCAGATTTTATTTTTTTCAATATCTAAATTCGATTTTCACTAATTCAATAATAAAGTATACCTGAAACAACTAAAATCATAAAATTTACATAGAATATTAAAGAATATGGCAATCGTAAAGTACAAATAGTTATGGAATTACTCGGATTTCTGTTTAATTACCTTTAAAATTAATTCAAAATTCACTAATCATTATTTAATAATTTTTGATAATTTTTGATTACCGATTCCCTTACAAGCTTGATGGAAACCCCTCGTGTCAAGTTTTGTTTTGCCTTTTCTATCAACAGAAGAAATCAAGCATCTTATCAAACGTCGCTGCATTTATTTTGATGGCTTGAAGTACAGCTTCTTAGTCAGGGTGGAGTAGATGCTAGCAATCTGTTTCTTATTATGAAATTCTATGTTGTCTACTTCGCTGAGTCGTTGTGATACGGCATCATTCGTTTCCGTCAGAATGTCATAAATAGAGTCCGTTTCCAGATCACAATTTTTGATTACATTGCACAGGTCCTGAATCAACCAGCTCCCTTCTTGTTCGTTCCGAAATGCTTTGTGACCTGAAAAATAAACGTGATTTATGCTGGAGAAGCCTTATAGTACGTTCATACTACAGAGTTATAACCAAGTAAGGGAGGGCGGTAAAAGCCCTACAGTAGAAGTATGGATGTCTGTCAAAAGTTGTTCCAATCGAACCGTCAAAATGCACCGTTTTGCTCCATTGGAACAGCTTTCTTCATTTTCGTGGTGACAGTCGTCCATACTTTAACTAGAGGGCTTTGGGGGGTCCCAAGAAAATCAATTAAAGTACCCCATTCTAATCGAAATTCTAGTACTATACTATGTTTGCTCTGATTCGTTATGAAAGTTCAACAGGTAAAATGAGGGGTTCGTGAATTTTCCTATGTTTCGAGGGGTGCATCGATTAGCTTGGGACCGAAGATAGTACCAGAGCTGAGCCAAAAAGTTGAGCTCGTTTCTTCGGGACCTTCTGGTCTTAGAGTTACCTCTATGCTATTAGCGTGAATTTTCAAAAGCACAAACATCAGCTTCAACAAAACATACCATAGACGATTGGTGCAATGGTGCGATGGATATGAGTTCATGCACTGATGAACATTTGACAAGAGCGCGGTGCAGTGCTAATTAATAATGAACATTTCTAGATAGAGCTGGAATTAGGGCCTAACAGCTTTTGTAAACAATGACTTCTCTTGATGATTTCTAGAAATTCAAGGCTCACCCACGCAAACCAACATCCTCATCGAGTAGGGAAAGACTTCCCCTATCCGATGGTTAGGTTGGTATGCGTGGACGTGCCTTGAATTCCTAGAAATCATCGATAGAAGTGATTGTTTACAAAAGCTGTTACGCCCTAATAGACGAGTGCACGGATGGATTTGAGTTCACTCACTCGACAAAAAGTGACCCAAAAGCGGGACCCTGTTTACTAAAAATGAACACATGAATAATACTCGCGTAACATTTGAAACGGGCCTATCAACTTTTGTACACAAAACTTGTTAAGCCTTTTTCGTGCGAACCGAATACGCCCACGTAAACTAACAACATCATCGGGTAGGGGAAATTCTCCTCTTCCCAATAGTGCTCTTGGTTTGCGTGGACGTACTTCGGTTCTCGTGAAAATGACCTAGGAAGTTGTTTACATAAGTTGATAGGCCCTTTTCAAAAGTTACGCGTGCATTATTCATGTGTTCATTTTTAGGAAACAGGGCCCCGCTGTTGTGTCACTTTTTGTCGAGTGAGTGAACTCAAATCCATCCGTGCACTCGTCTATCGATTTGAGTTCATGCACTGATAAATAGGGCGGGGTATTGCTAATTAATAATGAACATTTAGTACAAAAGGAAATCACTACTCTTTGTTTGTAGTAGCGCAGCAACCACGGAGTAGAGCCGTTCCACGCCAAATCTATTAAACTCAACCTTCTCCTTGTTATGGGTTGGGTACTGCGAAGCCGATCGATTTTATTTTGCAGGCAAATGAAAAACTGGTTGAAATTTTTTTCAAGTTTAAACCTGTTTTGCTCTGCCTTAGATGATTCCCGCCAAAAGCTCTGAGCCAGTTTGTTTGTTTGTTTGTTTGTTTACATAAATGTTTCGCCAAAGTATGTTTTAGTGCAATTGAAAACTCAGCAGAGTCATAAAAACTATGCTGGTTTTTATACTTTCATCACTGAGGTTGTTGGTTATTGTCTTTGAGTCTTACATTTAGAATTTGTTATGAAAAAGTATGGATTAGTTTTATGAGAGTATAATGCTTGACGTTGTTGCTTCTGAAGGGTTGGCTCCCGTTTGACAGTTCACACTGGCTCCCTGAGTGAGTCCGCAGTTCGGCCATTTTGGATCTTGTGATTGTTTTTTTTTTCAAAATGGCGGCTACGGTTTTTTCAATAACTTTCAGCACGAATACCTCACTTCTGATCGAAATGACGTCAAAGATAAAGTTGTAGAAAAAATGTGGTGTTTTTGGAAAAAAATATACACGGTAATTTTTTTTTAAATAATTTTGATATAAAAATTTATAAAGTGTTAAATACTTATATATTTCAAAATCTGCTGGTTCTAGTTTAAAAGATATTGCTTAAATAATGCTCATGAAAAATGCAAACTTTTGAAATATTGTAAACCTTGAAAATTGACAATCATCGTAGAACATAAACTTTTGGTCAGTTTTTTTTTTAACTTTTTATTGGTATGGTTTTTTAAATAATTTGTACACAGAAATTAATATTTGAGAAATTTGAAATCGATTTCTGAGCAAAAATTTCTTTAAAAACGTGCAAACAAGAAATTTAAAAATTGCAACAAAAGTTCTTGTTCTACGATTTTTGACAATTTCCAAGTTCCCATAGTTTACAATATTACAAAAGTTTGTATTTTTTATTTAGCTTTTTTTTTCATTAAAAACAAAATATTATAAAAATTGAACATGGATATTTTATTATATTTGACTATTCAACACTTTATATGAATGTTTACACAAAATTACTATACAAAAAATACCGAGTATATTTTTTTTCTAGGAACACTATTTTTCTCTACAACATTGTATCTGACGTCATTTTGATCAGAAGATTTAGTGATGTTCATTCTTTTATCTAACGTCGGTGTCTGTTCCGCAATCTAGTGCCAATAACCAACGGATATCGATTCCCATCCATTAACGGCAATCGAATGTGGAGGAAGGAAGCTTCTTCCACACCTGGTTGGGATATCACACCCATTCAACACATATGGGCCGGGACCAATGGCTTTACTTCCCTTCCGAAGGAAGACGTGACCAGAGATTTTTATGCCTCAGAAAAATCCCACCGACCTCGGCTGGGATTGAACCCAGACCCATTGGGGTGAGAAAGCAGCCTATCACTACACTACCGGCGCCGGCCACTTAGTGATGTTTTCGTGCTACAATTTATTGGAAAATGTCAAAATGGCAAAACATTGAAAGATTCCCCATAACAAACAACTGTGCAAAGTTTCATGCAAATCGAAGAAGGACGAGTCAAAAAAATCATTTTTGTTTGCTATTTGGCCTGGAGCTGCATAGCAGTAATTTCATATTTGTATGTTTTGTGGAAGCTGATATTTTTGTGGTTTTGAAAATTCACGCTATGGAGCTATAACAAGTTACAAGGCTACGACAGTTTTCATGTTGATAATTATGGCAACAGCCTTGTAGCATGTTTTATAATTCTGTAGTCTGAACAAGGCATAATGCGCTGTCCAGACTGAGCAGTTGTAACAGGCATAACGGTTGTAAAAATAATTACAATACAGAAACCACCATCAAGATAGCGTTATAATATGTTATAACTCTGTAGTCTGAACGTACTATTAGAGTATTAAGGTGCACAATTCGAATCGTTTTTCTCTCTTTCAAACAAAGCTTACCGTGATGAGAACTCTGCACAACGAACAGATCGGGAAATTCAGGATACGGACGAATATCCGGCTGCGAGTCGACCTGATCTCTGGCACTGTATGCCATCAACTTAACACCATGATCTACTTCTTCGCCACGACAGGCTTGGATTATGAACAGTTTCGGTTTTCCAGCCATGGACTTCAAGGTAGTGGGATTGAAGTTCTCAATAAACTCGTACAAATGGTACTCTCCATCGTTGGCCACCAACTTGTCATTCTTAATACCGTGTGTAAGTATCACCACCACTAAGCAATCGGATATTTCCAGATCAGCGTTGTTTTTCACTGCAAATTAAACCGCTCACAGTAATCCGATCATCATATAAACGATTCACTACTCACGGTTTTCCGCAATCCCGTTGATTTCGCCTTTACTCATGTTGTTGTACACTTCAATATCCTCCTTTTGGAATCCGAGTTGAGGCAGAACCTGGTTTAATCTTGCTACGTCTTGGTCCGTACCGGGCCGGTCCTTGCAACCAACTTTTTCTTCGAAAGTTTCATGATTGAATATTAACACCTTGCCACGTTTCGCTCCGTTCATGGAGTACAGCTTAGCCGTAGGTATGGCTAGAATTCCGGATCCCTCCGGTTTCGGAATCGGCCCAACAGACAGGGTCTGGGCCGGTTTCGATTCGTTAAATCCAGCTGCATCTACTTCACTATTACTACCGGACCCACTAAGGGTCGGGTTTGCGTCCACCAGGTCCACCTGTTGCTCTTGCCGGAGGTTTACGGAGGGATCCATGATTTTTTTTTTCCTTTTAGCAGAATCTGACTGACAAACCGTAGAGTTTGATTTCAGATTCCGAAATGGCTGGGTGACTGAACAGTGAACGGATATATGCGCTTAATCTTGAATTTGCCGTGGACGGTGGTGGTAGTGGTATGGTGAATGGACTCTCGATAAAAGAGATAACAATGTGATGTGATTTCTGAAAAGGCGGGAATGGATAAGAGTTCCCAGGCATTCGATAAGCCTGATTATGCGAATACTAGTGTGATTTAAAAATTGGTTATCAGTGAAAAATTTCCATAGGTTGAAATTCGGAAGCAATTTGAGAGTTCTGTTGTACAAGCCATGTCTTGGATTCAAGCTCCTACTCTTTAGTTAACTCTTTTATCAGTCATTTGTGGTCCTGAAAAGGACCGGTGGGTTGGAAGCTTGGAAGCTAGTTAAAAACAATACAATACAAAATGCAAAATACAAAATCCTCTATGCCTGCATGACAAAAACAAAACGCGATGGTTTGAGTGTCCAAACTGTTCCTGGGCAATTTATAGCTGCTGTAAAGTAGCCCATTCCAGCGCTAAAACGGGGGGTCTTATCAAAGTCATGCGATAAGCGAAATACGGTCGTCTACTGGGGGTCGAGAACCTATCACAATCTAGGTTGCATTGTTGTGTATTATAACGCCGAGAAAGTTTGACGATCTGCCTCAATGTGACATAATAACAGCGAACGGAGGCAGAGCTTGGTGTGTAGAATCTTATCATCGTCATAACGTCATAGTCATACTTATCTGTATTGTGACTTGTAAGCGGTTGGTAAATTGGGGCGACCTTGACTTATGTAATGCAGTCGAACAGATTATAAAACTGACGCATTCATCGTGTTGGTCAGAGCGGCACATTTATGATTTTGTATACGTGATTTAGACTGAAAAAGGAGTGTCATAATCAGGCTTTTCAAATACTACGAGCTTTAACATTGGTCAACAGAAATTTGTCTTATCAATTATTCATGTAATATCTTTGGTACCTGGAAACTCAAATTTACTGTCTTCGATTTTATTTACAAATTGTCGATGGATTCCGGGTAAGATAAAATTAAGCCTACTATGCGTGAATTTATCACTTTTAATCTTCTTTGTTTACAGCACACAGCAACAAGGAAGTGAACAGGAATTTGGTAACGTTGTCGTGTAACCTTGAAATCGAATCAATTATAAATAATAATTTTCCATTCATTTTCAGCACAACAACCGCCAATGTTACCAAGGATGGCAACATGTTCGAATATGATCATCGCTGATGTTTGGAAAAGCTTTGAACGTTCATCCGGGAGGCAGAAAATCCTGTGGCTGTGGAATATACGCCGGGGACTTTGGAAAAGTTGCACCAGTAGCACGTGAAGGCCGCCCACAAACGGTTGACGATAAAGCGCAGTCGATCGCAAACGAAGGCCAATCGACGAGTGCTTCGTTACATAAATGATGTCGCGAGGTTATAGAATAAAAACACTTGGAATCAGTAAATTGAGTTAATATATTTTTGTCTGGTTTCCTTTCAACCTATATGGTGGTCTCTTCAAAATAGTATTCATGTATCGATAGTATAAAATCTATTTGACGTCTGAATAAATCTATGTTATGAAATTGTTATGACAAGGTTTATCAATGTCATATGAATTATGCTTAAACTTTATGCGAAGATGGCAATGGCAAAAATCTATGTGGTTTGCTTAATACATTCAATATGAGTTTTTCTTCTCGTGTAGGCTTACTTATAGACCCTGATTAATTCATCACCTTTCTCGAATAATATTATAATGACTTGGGTTCTTTAATTTTGAAAAATATATTGGTTACTATACTCATCCGAGAGGGCTTCTTTTGCTGATCACAACGATAATTTTGTCGATCCCATTTACTTCCATCTCAGTTTTAAAATCAAGATGTAAAGCCAAATAACCACCTCACTGTTTGACACAAAATTAACAAATTGCCAGCTCACTCCCATACAAAGTACGGCCGAGGGGCACTAAGATGGTGTTTTTTTTGCTAATGTAATCACACTTATTTAAAACCGTTCCAGTGCTCCAATGTTGACAAAATTTTGGACGTCGGATCTATTTAAAATGCAGATTACGAATATGCATTTACCTCTCAATACCCCTAAAGAATCCAATTATGGGTCATTCCGCGCCAAGTGATCGAGAAAAAAAATACAAAAATGTAATTGACCTCTTTCGATTTGGACCAGATTTGGAGGAGATGTTTTATTTTGGTCTGACTTTTATGAATCTAAATTTTTGAGCAAATCGTAGCAATCCGTGTAGGGGAGCATTTTCTATTTTTCATGATTTTTAAGAAAGCACTACTTTATTTAGCAATATCGTCGGAACAAATAAAGCTACAATTAACTTTGTAGAGTATTTTTATGAGAAAATCAGGCAAGGAATCTTAATATGAATTTATTATTTAGGTACAGTGGTGCCAAATATTTTATAATTGCGTTTACAAACTTAAAACGGAATTTTCTCAGAATGAGAATATTTAAATTGCCATTCTGGCATGTTCTCCATCCCTTTTACATAAGAAACACTTATCGACAAAAAGTGATTTGTGTATGTCCGGAGGAACATAATTTTGAAGCAAAGAATGCTAAAAATTATGAGTAAAAAAACATTTTTCAATTTCCTTTTCGTTCGTTCTTCTCAGTGAAAGAACTCATTTTGCGATATTGAGAGCGTATTAGAGCGGAAACATATCATTTGATTGATGATTTTGCCAACACTGCATGGGACATATGTCACCAAACAGCAAACATCCGTCTCGTGTCTCGCCGTTAGTCTTAGAGAGTCAGATTCGCATTGTTTGATTTTAGCACACTCCTCCATCAGCGAACCAACCTGCCTCAATCGATCGATGGGCATCACGACGACACAATGGCGATCGCAACAAACAAACCCCCTCCGGGCCCGGCCAAATGCAGTTGCTCCCTCTGTGTGAGCAGAAGCGTTCAACTTGCTCCTCCTGCTGCTCCTCTTCCATTTCTATACACGTTGGATAAATGACCACCCACTGCTACCGCCTCCTCCTCCTCCTCCTTATCCTTATGTTGCTTTTGCTTGTTATGTAAACAGCCTAAAGTGTTGAACTGCTGGCTGCTGCTGGGTCTCTCCATCTTGTTGTTATTGTTGGTCAGATAAGCAGATTTTGGGGGAGCGCAAAAAAAGATCGTAATGTTGTGGTTTGACGGTGTTTTGTTTACGCGTGGCACACAACAAAGCGAGGGAGAGAGAGAGAGGTAAACCCAAAAAGCGATCAAGGGAGGCTAATAGTAGTTTTATTTGCAATGAGACGAATTGAAGAAATTTATGAACACTCACTTCGGATGAAAGTATTTAATATGGTAAGAGTTTTATTGGTTTGTTTATGAGCAAAAAGCTAAATCGGAAAGGGTGTCAACCGAGCTTAGCGTGTACGATACGGGTGGATGCGATGGTTGCGAAGGCAGCCCCCCCGAAACAGCTGAAGGATATGACAGTCGGCTTAATGGTTTTATGAACGAGGAGATTGAGGGAATAAAAATTGTATGACATCATTTGCCAAAAGATGTGTGAAAGAAAGTGCAAGCATTACTTATTTATAGATAATGTTAACGCAACGATGATTGAGTATTGTTTGAAATATTCAGTCTTTTTTATGATCATGAATTTTGACGTGATTCCAGTCATAAAGCGAGTCAGATCGATGTAAAAAAAAACGTACGAAACTTAATAGGTTTGTTGTAAAATCGTAAAACTGTAGAAATTACCAATCGAAGGACCATCTTTCTAGGATTGTAGGACACTCGAATGGTCATAAAAACGCACATATATAAATCACATGTTCACGGATCGTAAAGATTTCTACAACCCCTCACAAGATTTGATTAACGCATAAAAAACAAAAAAATAAACCCGAATTTATCCACCTATGGTGTGATCAGACCCTTCTTACTTATTCAAGTTTATTTATTTTATTGTCATTATCAGTGATCAAGCCCCCAACTCCCGTGTCATCCAGTGACGCTACGTCACTGCCTGGGGGTACCCGGAATATATCCGGGTGTAGTCTATTTGGTGAGGCTACCAATCACCTTATCATCGTATTTTAATGTGATTTAATGGGTTTTAATTCAATTCATATTCAAGCAACTTCCCCGGGGTACCCGGAACATGTCCAAGTGTGTCCAATGTGGTCTGGAACACTTAACACGACTTGCATTGATCTTATTTTTGAATTCTGTAGTAATTTGATGTGTCGCATGATGGTTTTGACCGATTCCAAAACCGTTCAATAGCGTTCAATGGGACCCCAAGACCTATCATTTGGCGCCGAGTTTGTCCAAATCGGTTGAGCGGTTGCTGAGAAACGTGAGCGCATTCATTTCGTTACATACACACACACATACACACATACACACGTAGACACACACACACACACCACCGGTGAAAACCAGGCGAACCCAGAAAGGCGAGATCCTCTTTGAGCTGAAGAAGGATCCTGCTATCAAGAGCTCAGCCTTCAAGGAGCTCGTCGAAAAGTCTCTTGGCGAAGGGGCGAGCGTAAGAGCTCTATCCCAGGAGACAGTGGTCGAGTGCAGGGACCTGGACGAGATCACCACAGAAGAGGAGCTAAGAAGTGCGTTGAGAGTGCACTGCGATCTGGGAGATGTCCCGATGTCAATCCGCATGAGGAAGGCGTACGGCGGCATGCAAACGGCGGTTATACGGCTTTCGACAGCTGCAGCGAATAAGCTGTTGGAGACGGGCAAGGTCAAGGTTGGCTGGTCATTGTGCTCGCTGAAAGCCACTCCTCGGGTTACCAAGCAATTGGAGCGATGCTTCAAGTGCATGGGATTCGGTCACCAGGCGAGGAACTGCAATGGCCCTGACAGATCTGATCTGTGCAGGAAATGCGGAGAGAAAGGCCATATTGCAAGAGGCTGCACGAAGCATCCGAGGTGTATGCTCTGCAA